ATTTTTTAAGAAATAATCACATCAAACATTGCGTACATAACCTCAATTTTTCTTTTTGAACCCGTGGTAGCAAAAGTTGAATTTGCTACCACTAAATGAGTCGACATTTGCATGCGTCCAGGCTGCTAGTGAAAAAAACTTATTTTGTGTTGTCAAAATTATAAGGGGAAAATCAACCCTTATCCAACCTTTTTAGACGCTACTGAAGGATAAATAGGTAAAATTAATTTATTTTAGTAAATCCTAGCAACTGTAACAATAAAACTTTTGTCAAGACTAAATGTTGCTATAGAAACGAGAGATGATCTTTTTATCAGAGGCGTACAACGAATTTGGACATAAATTTTAATAATTTTTATCTCTAAAAGGAGAACACTTTTACCTGAAATTTTTGTAACTTTTAGCACCCATACTTCGAGACCAACTGCCGATTTTATTTTGTACGTACCTTTCAATAACACTCTGTATATTAACATAAGAAACAAAACACAACAAAACAGTGCTAACAGACTTAACTTTTATTTTTTGTACTTTTTTTTTTCAAAAAAACTTTAAAACAAAACAATGGAACTATTTTTAAGAAGATTATAAGAACGAAAAAAAGATAGTTTAATAATAATTAATAGAACATCTCCAAGTGTTCAGTATCATACTAAAGATTCTCGCTTTCACTGTAAACAGTACAAAACCAATCACCTTTCAGTTTTCGCTTGATATTGGCACATTTCTTTAGTACTGATTCCATTCGACATCTTGTTACAAATTCTGCAGTGCAAGTTCTTGATTTTTTTCGCAGTTATCAAAAAACGAAGTAGAGCAGAATAACCGGGTGCTGCAAAATCTTTTTGGACTAAAGATACATGCACTTCATTTTAAAAAAATTCTGATTTGATTAATTTTGGCTCAGTAGGTAAATGGGAAGTAGTATATTTAATAGTGGATTCGTAAGATAAACCAATCCATTCAAAGATCAACTTCTTTTTTTCATAATCTGATTTTAAGCTGTATTTTACTGGAACCCCAAAAGTTTGTTTTTTTCTTTTTACTTCCACAGCCGTTGACATGTGACCTTTAGGGCGCCCACAACGAATCATTTTTTTAGGAAGTTTAGTTGCTTTTAATTCAAACAAAAATTCTTCATTTAGGTTGGTTTTGGATGATGAAACAATAGTTTTTTTTGCCGGAGTAGGCTCGTTCATTTTTTGTTAAGAGCAACTAGGTAAAATATGATATTTTTCACTTTGATTCTACGAGATGGTATTACTAGTAGATTTCTGTCTATAGACTTCACTGTTAGCAAATATTTTTGCAAACGTTAATTGAACAGCATTCCCTACAGCATCTTAGATGTGCCAATCACAGCCTTAATTTTGAGGGATTAGTTTTTCTATTCTTTCCTCATTTGTTTTTGTTGCAGTTTCTTGGTGTTCATTATCCTGATGTTTATTATGTACCACTGCATTTTTCATATTGGTTTCGAGTATTTTCTATTAGTTTTTTGTTGTTATTGTTTATTTCTTCCAATGAATTACTTTGATTCAAGTCTTCAACGTAAATAATCTATTCTTCCACATTTTTTCACAGTGTGATTAAACATTTTCCTCTGTGAAATTCATTTCAATTTCTTCAATACCTGTATCAAGCACTTCGTTTTGTTAGTGACTGCATTTTTAGACGAACTTGCCAGTTCACATATAAGTACCTCTATATTCATTTCGTAATAATTGAGAAGCAATTTGGCGTCTTGCATTTTTTGCTTATATTTTTCAGTCCCAAACTCGGATATAACAACAGCAAATCTGGAACATAATTTTGCTGCTTATTCATATTTTTTGTTAGCTCTAACAGCTGTAGGTGTTGGAGATGCGAAATCCAATATTGTTACTTGTTGGCATGCATCATTTGCATACAGATTTTCCATATTGCTTGACGCTCTGTGATAACTTAAATAAAAATTCTTCTTCCAACGATTAAGCATCAACTTTTCGTCAGACGGATTCAAACCCATTTTTTCTCTTAAAGCCAAAATGTGGCAACATAGCAATAGCATTTGGTTAGAAAGCTGCAGTCACATTTGTCATTTTTCGTTTAGTTCTAGGTTTTCCTTAATTTTGTATCTTACCATAAAAGAAAATTGCTGCAGTAAAGATTTCCAAGCAAAAGGAGTAATTAAGTTGTGATATTTCCATTGATAAGTATCCCGTTTAAATTTAATTATTTCCTACTTAAGGAGTAAATCGTGAACTTCTTTCTCTTTCAATTGGTAATGAAGAAAACACCTTCTTGAAGTCAGTGAAAAACTGGTCCAAAGAAGACAGTTTTTCAATACCTGCTTTCAGCATTTGATTAATATTTTCTAATCTACTGGTTGTATTGTTTCCAAATGTTAGGCAGTGATGACGATATGCACAGACCCACTGCTCCTTTATGTCGTGCCAATTTTTCTTATAATATGCCGTAACTTTGGGAAAATTGAAACTTATTCAATTCTATTCTATATACTCTCCGTCACTATGGCTGTATGTTATCCTCTGTATCAAATTCAGGCACTGTTCTTTGTGGGCAGACGAAATCTTCATTTTATCCACAGTAATTTTCCTGCGAAACGTCTTTAGAGTGTAGTATAAGCATAATAACAGCCTAGCATCTGGAAATTCCTGATTGAAAATGTGAAGGTCCTTCATATCCTTATCAGTGAAAGTAGTTTTTGTTGCCTCCCAGTTAGCATTTTCTTTTTTGAATAACTGAGTCACTTCGCCTAAAGTAATTTCGTCCTCATCAATCAACAAAAAAGAACATATAATTTCACTATGTCCATTTTCATCAACAGTGAGTACAACGACATTCTCAGGTTATTGAGTTTGTAGGTGCCATCGCATATTAATATTTCCGGAAAGTACTTGAACATTTGTTTCATTGTCTTACTTTGGTAGTAAATTGCTCTTAGATTTTTGTCGCCATTTCGGAAAATTTTTACTGAGTCTCCTTCTTGAATAAGTTTCGGGATAATCTCTTCGAGTTTGTGTTTAATAGTGCTTTAGCAATTGACTTTATATTTCTTTCAGGGTTACGATTTTGTTTGTTTTTGACATAATATAGTTTTGTGCGTCTTTCGAATTGGCTTTCATTTGCATAAGATGCACCATTTCTTCTTTGTCGCTTGGATCCAGTTTGCAATTTCTAGCCATAAATTTGTAAGAGGATTCTTCAAGTCTGTGATTATGCATTTCTGTAATGCATAACTGATGATTATCGTTAATACTTATTTTTATACTAGCTGGACAATTATCTTGCATCGTTTTGTGTCTTCTTTAATTTACTCTTAAAATGTTTACCTCTTTTGGCACATGCATAATCAATTTTATAATATTGCACGTCATCACTACAGTTAGCGGCCTGTTTCTTCTTTCCTTCGGAAATTGTTACACTAATTCTTTTGTAAAAATATATATAATTCATGTCTTCGTAATTTTTTAAAGTTAGCGCCACTCTTCGTAAGTTTCGAAAGTTTTTCCAACTGTTAACATATTGTAACTTTATTATCTTGTTATAGAAAAGATGTGCAGTACTTGTAAAAATTATTAAACTCGATCTGGAATGTCTGGAGTTTGAAGGTACGTTGGGAACATTTGTGGCGGCTAAAGTTTGAAGTTATGCTTATATCTGCAAAGCTATGATTGGACTTATGTTAGTACACGTAATTACTGAATGATACTGATATACATACACGTACCTTTTATCTATTTGATGATGGTCACTAAATATTTAACGAAATCAAACTGAAAAATAGGCACAGTCAGAATCATTCGTGTGTGGGCGTACAATTGTGTGTACGAATAGCGCTGTAGTTATTCGTACACACTGGATGTATGAATAGCTCTTGTACTATTCGTACATACTGTGTGTACGAATAGTCACTCCGTAAAAACAACGCTCCTATTTTGAGTGAGCAATCAATGAAAAGTGTAAAAAAGTTCAGGTTTATAAATTAAATAACCCGTACCCTTCGGGATTAAGTCAATTTATCACCTCGTCACTTTGCGTACCAGGCACAAAACTAATTGTTTATTTATAGTCAATATGTTATGACGGTGTGTCATAATTTATAATTTTCAGCAGATTAAATTTCAAAAGTCACTTGTTTATCTCTGCATTACAGAGTATAGCTTAAAAGCGTAATTTTGGTTATAAATAATTCGAAATACGTTGGCTACAAATCCAGCAATTCGAGAGGGTATTTACGTTTAGATAATCACAATACATAGTTGCTTATTATGGTTTGTTAGAACACCACAACGCGGTGTGGAATGCTGTAATCAATTCAGACATTTGGTATACACTGTAATAAAAATTAAGTCATAATCCAAACAAAAACCGCAGTAGATAAAACTACGGCCGAAAAGCCATAAATTTGCATCAGCATTTGCGTAACTGTCCGCTCCCCAATACTGAATAACTAGACCCGGCTTAATTTTAATTTCTGATGAAATAACCGTTTGCAATCTAGCGACTAATCCGCTGAAATGTGTGCGGATCAGTGCACCTACGGTTCGATGCAGTTTTAGTCCCGCGAAGATCAAAACATAATTTGGAGCGCAAACAGTTATTTCGACGTTCGTTCTCCAAATGGAAGGCATACAAGACTAATAGCAGCAAGAAAAATAAACTTTCCCGGCGCATCCACCAATTTGGTAATCCTATTTTCCCATGGCAAAGGCGAGCGGTTTCGAATTGTAAGTCGTGCGTCTTCATCAGCTTATTAAAGTAAAACAGTATGTTAATTTCGGCATTGTGCCTTGTTTATTCTGCACAAACGGAAAGTTCGAACTGCCTTAAGACATCTGTAATTTGATACAACAAGTCGCTTTTAATGTCGAACAGTTCCGCTTTCCACCACTTGTACTGCAGCGAAAGCGTTTTGACTGAAATTATTGCGAAAACCCGCTTCGGAGATGATTTCGGTTGTGGAACATGCGAACGAGGAATTGTGAAAGACTTACGATTTATATCGAGGGTAACTGAACTAGAAATGGGAGCCACTAGATTGTTGTTGGTTGCTTGGCAAGTAAATACGGTGTGAAGATGCTTCCTTTCAAGCTTTTCCAGGTGGAGGATATTTCTGACTCGACGCTCCGATAAGTACTCGAAAGAGTCGTCGAGGAGAGCATTCTCTTGCCACCACGTTACTTTGGGCGGAGGACGACCTGTGTCATAAAGAGAAAATTTTATTTCAATGTCAAAAAATAAGCATACAATTTTACAGTATAAAATATAATGTGGAAATGAATGCATGCATACTTCTTCTTCGTGTTCTAACTAAAATGTCTATAGCACTAGTAGCTGAAACAACTGTTTGAATAGTTTATATTTGTTTTTAAAGTATAAATCTTTTTAATGATGACTGACATAATAAGAACATAGTGAAGAAGAAACACAATTCTAATCATAAATTAACACAAAATAATTCTACATAATATTTTATGAGTAAGATAGATTTGTATGCAACGCATTTACAAAATATGTTCGGAGTCGGATTTAATTAAAAAGAAAACCGGATCGGATTCCCATAATGGATTGAGATTTACCGTAGATGATTTAATTAACTACAAAAATTAAAAGTAGATTTCTATATGAAAATTCTAAAATAAAATAAAACAAAATTACTTTTACTATTCGAGAAGTAAATTTAATTTTCAGTCTTTTTGTGAAGGCAAAAAATATTTTATTTTATTATTGCTTACTATTACTTTGTATAGGTTTCTCCTTACTGGAAGAAGGTCATATTAATAAGATGACTTAAAACTTTAAATTATAATTTCAGAAGCTACAACAATTTTTCCTATCCGACGTGGTTTAGTATTGATTTAATCAATCAAAAAAATCACAGTTAACATAAAAATAGAGAAACTGTACCACAAGACATCGTTGTAAGCTTCGTAGCATTTTTCAGCAAGGTATTAATCAAAAATAAGTAGTATAAATAATTCCATAAAAAGTACAACTGTTGATATAAATTGTGTTTCTGATACCCTGCACGTATTTAATGTGTTGCAAAATGTGATAAATGATGCTGGAAAAATGGAAGCTAAATTTACTACAGACTCTAATGGCGTCATTGCACCTCTAGTAAGGATTATATTCATTGGCTAAACGATTTATTATGTCATATTTTCCATATAATCTTAAAATCCAGTGACTATTCAGAAATAGGGAAAACCTAAAATACCTATCCAATTTTTAAAACTTATCAAAGAAATAATATAAAAAACTATAGGCTGTTAGCTTAAACAAATAGTTTTTCAAATCTTTAGTATAGTCATTCAAAGCACTATACTGTATGACACGACATGGATCTTAGTAGGTATCGATTAATATCTAAACTATAGTCATGGAAATACCCCTAGTCAAAAACACTAGTAACTTTTCGTAGGTGATCTTTTATATGTTACGAATATATTGCTATGTATAAAAATTCTATAAACATGGCGACGTCTGATACGGACGTACCTACCAGTGATCCGACAATTTTATTACAGTGAAAGTGTGAAAGATGCAAGAAAGTTGTCACAAATGCGTGCATTCGTTGTGTAAAATGTGGTGTAACGTATCACCGTAGTTGTGTCTTTACTAAAAATGAAAGATCTAAGTGTTTTCATTTTCTTAGTGAAAATGAAATGCAGTGTATTCACCACCAAGTTGATGATCAAGTTGATACAGTTGATGTCTTAACTTTAAATGAAGATGAACCAATGTCACAAGCCATTATTGACTTTCTAAGTAGCAACAAATTTTCGGGAATTCTACGTGATGCAAAACACTATTGAAGAACTTAAGCAAGAACTCTCAGATCTGAAGTCTACTAATATCGATATGATAAGATTATTTAATAACTGGCCAGAGAAGAATTTAATAAAATCATCGGATAAGGAGGTTGGTGCTTTATGACTGACTTTTTTTTAGACGGTGATAGTAAAACTTTTCGCAACGGAGGTCATCGAACTCAGCCGATTAAAACCCAAAAAACAACGACTGAAAGAACTATAAACACCAACTTAATTTCGGATGTCCCGTCAAATTCTAATTCAATACAATTCAAAACAAATAGTAACTATCTACAAGTTCCGAAAATTATTAGTAATGATGATGGTTCACCGAATTTTAATCTCGAACCAATTATGCCAACGACAAAAACACAGAGTCAAGGGAGCATCTATAACAAAAACACAACATCTTACAACAACAGCGTTCTAGTTGATGCAGATGGGTTGCAAACAAAAATGTCTAGGAGGAATAAACGTAAAATTGTTAGAGGGAATGCTACTTTACAAAATATGTCACTCAAGGCTGCGAAGCGTCTCAGTACTGTCTATGTTGGCAATTTACAACCAAATACAGTGGAAAATGATGTTAATGAATTTTTAAGATCTAAATTTCCAAACTTTGAATTTCTAGTGGACAAACTGCCTAGAAGAATTAATGCCAAAAGTGTTTCCTTTAAGGTAACGGTTGATCCAACTATTTACAACGATTTTTTCAAAGAAGAGTTATGGCCGGAAGGTGTTATAATTAAGAAATTTTATTTTTTAAAGAAAAAAGAAGGGGAGGCATCTCAAAATGTAAGGAAGCCTTCAGAAGCACACAATTAGGTCACGTCTTAATGTCAGGTGAGGGCAAAAATCTTGATAGTTTACAGAATCTTGATAGTTTACAGATTTACTATCAAAATGTCTGAGGACGTAGAACAAAGCTAAACGAATTGTGCCATTCAATCCTCAGTGAGTGTTACCCAATAATAGTAATTTCTGAAACGTGGCTGTGTGATGGCATTTTTAATAGTGAATTTATTGATAAAAGATACTGTGTATTTAGGAAAGACAGATCATCTCAAACAAGCATCAAGACTCGAGGGGGTGGAGTGCTCATTGCCATACAGTCCCATTACAGTTCCAGTGAACTTGATGTTAACACATCAAATAGGGAAGAAATTTGGATAAAACTAGTAGTTGGTAAAACTAATATAATTCTCGGTGCTTGCTACATTCCACCAGGATCAGCTCGTCAACTTTATAGTGATCATATTGAATTGGTTAATTGTATTGTGTCACGCTATCCTAATCACATTGTATGCATAGTAGGTGATTACAATTTGCCTGATATTAAGTGGAATGCAACATCTACAGAAAGCATGTCGGAAGGACTGTATCCATCGAATGTTAGCTGTGACACTGAACGTATCATCTGCGATGGTATGGCTTTTTCCGGCTTGGCACAACACAATTCCGTACAAAATGTTAACTTTGTAACTCTAGATTTAATTTTTTGTAACCACACCACATTGGTCAATGAATGCTTACCTCTTTTGAAATGTGATAAATACCATCCAGCTGTGATTGCAAACATCTGTGATATTAATACTCTTATTTTGAAATCTAACGAACCGTGTTTTTATCGTGATTTTGGAAATGCCCCCTATGAACTAATTGATAATTACCTATCAAATGTAAACTGGAATTTCTTAAACAATTTCTTTGATATTAATCAATGTGTAAGTGCTTTCTATAGTATAATCAATTATGTAATCGAAACATTCATTCCGTTAAAAAAATGTCAAAATAATAATAAATTTCCCAGTTGGATAGATAATTCTACTAAATCTTTAATTATACAGAAGAAAATAGCTCATAAGGATTATAAAAAATCTAATTCACATTATGATTACGTAAGATTTGCTCAATTAAGATACGAATGTAAAGAGGCTATTCACAATTGTAGACAATTATATATTGATAAGGTGGAAAATAATATAATATCTAATTCAAAAATGTTTTGGAACTATGTAAAAGCCAATAAACAGAACAGTGGCTTTCCTAAAACAATGTATTATAATGACGTGGAAGCTCATTCTTCATTTGACATAGCTGACTTGTTTGCATCATATTTTCAATCTGTATTTAGTCATCCTGATCCCGATGTTAATTTCTGAGATACTTATTACTGTGATACTGCTTTAGATTTAAATTTTATTCATATCACCTACGATGATATCTTGAAAAAAGTGCAATCTTTTAATAACCCTAGTCACCCAGGACCAGATGGTGTTCCTGCGATCTTTGTTAAAAAATGTCTGCTTTCTCTGATTAATCCACTTCAAATAATGTTCAATAAATCATTGTCTTTATCTGTATTTCCAGATTTTTGGAAAAAGTCCTTTATCTTGCCAATATTTAAAAGTGGCTCAAGAAATATTATTAGTAATTATCGCGGTGTCTCTAAATTACCATTTATTCCTAAGATCTTTGATGCAATTGTTGCAGATATTTTATTTGCTAGTGTGAAAGAAACTATTATTACTGAGCAACATGGTTTTTTCAGTGGGAGATCAACTACCACCAATTTATTTCTTTTCACGGAATTTGTTACTAATATGAATGAACTGGGATCGGAAGTTGATTGTATTTTTACTGATATTAGCAAAGCATTCGATTCAGTCAACATTAAACATTTGCTGAATAAATTAAAACATTTTGGGATATTTGATCCTTTGCTTGGCTGGATAGAATGCTACTTAACAAATCGTAAGTCGCACGTTGAATTTAATGGCATATTATCTAAATCAATTGATGCATGTTCTGGTGTTCCGCAAGGTTCCCACTTGGGACCTATTCTGTTCTTATTATATGTCAACGATGTAAAATATGTATTTCAAAACAGTCTTTTTCTATTATACGCTGATGACTTGAAATTGTTTCGAGCTATCAATTCTCCCTTTGATTGTATTTTACTTCAAAATGACCTAGATAAGTTTAAAATGTGGTGTTCAGATAATAGTCTTAAGCTTAACATACACAAATGTAAATCTATGAGATTCTCTAAAAAAATTGTTAAAGTACCTGAATTCAACTATAATATTTCGGATGTAGTTGTAGAACAAGTAGCATATTTTTGTGACTTGGGTGTAATGTTGGATCCAAAATTAGCCTTTACTCTACATGTTGATAAAATTGTCAATAAAATTAATAAAACCTTGGGATTTGTTCTAAGACAATGTCAGGAGTTTACTAGCCTTCGTGTCTTTTGCATTTTATATAATTCATATGTTCGCTCATTATTAGAGTACTGCTGTATAATTTGGTCACCTTACTATCAGCTCTATATATCTAGACTTGAAAAAATTCAAAGAAAGTTCATTAAATTTTTATGTTTT